GGGGCGGAGCCAGGATGAGCTTGCAACCAAGGTACATGCCCTTCACAGGAATTGAACCCGTGACTCTTGGGTCAGCAGGCTGACGCTCTATCCACTGAGCCAAACGGGCTAGGGCTGGCTGTCAGTTGGATTTTTAAAAATATATTCTATTGATTTTTTACAGAGAGGAAGGGAGAGAGATAGAGAGTTAGAAACATCGATGAGAGAGAAATATCGATCAGCTGCCTCTTCCACACCCACTATTGGGGATGTGCCCACAACCAAGGTACATGCCCTTGACCGGAATCGAACCTGGGACCCTTGAGTCCACAAGCTGATGCTCTACCCACTGAGCCAAACCAGTTAGGGCTGGCTGTCAGTTTTAATTGATGAAAAAGGCAGTGAGCTTTGGTGGGGGAAATGGAGTGGGGTATATGGGGCAGGGTTAATATAACCACATCTGTCTTTCTGTCTTTCTAGTGGGATTAAAAATGCAAATAATAATAAAATAAATAAATAAATAAACAACCCCAAAAATGCTTTTTTAAACAGCAGAAGATAATTTTTTGGTCTTTATTCCTCCCCAAAGAAAAGTAGAAAAAGTAACCTTTTCCAGACTATCACATCTCTAAATATAGCAAATTCTCACTTTATGAGCACACTGAATTGTACATGATGAATGTTTATTTCCCAAGCTGAGAGAGAGAGAGAGAGAGAGAGAGAGAGAGAGAAGAAAGTTTGGTTCTTATAAAAATTTTAAAATAAAAATTACAGGGAATTATGAAAATTACATTTTGCATATTTTATAATTTCCATCCCCCTGCAAAAAAAAAGTCTCATTTCTAACCATCCGTGACTTCAAAATATCTGGGAATCCTATGCCTCCAAATGGGAATCTCCAGGTAAGTTGAAAATAATATAAAATATCCAGGGAGAAGATCTTAGGGGTCCAGGAAATGTAAACCTTTCTTTGGTTATGATCTTTATTTTTTTAAAATATCCAATTATTTAAAATCAAGACCATAAAAGATCTGAATTTTACTCTTTTTTCTATATTGTTGGGTTAATGTAGACTCTCTCTCTCTCTCTCTCTCTCTCTCTCTCTCTCTCTCTCTCTCCCCCTCCTGCCTTTCTCTCTGGATCTCGGTTCATCAGGCTTTGTTGCTCTATTTTAAATCTTATCAGTCATCCCATCTCTGCCCCATAGAGGGAACGTGGTTCCAATGGCCTGGTTGAATGAAAGAAGGCAGCCAACCCCACTTGGCTTTTGGATTTCTTTTTTTAAAATTTAATATATTTTTATTGATTTCAGAGAAGAAGGGAGAGGGAGAGAGAGATAGAAACATCAATGATGAGAGGGAATCATTGATTGGCTGCCTCCTGTACACCCTCTATTTGGGATCCAGCCCAAAACCTGGGCATGTGCCCTGACTGGGAATCGACCCGTGACCTCCTGGTTCATAGGTCAACACTCAACCACTGAGCCACACCGGTTGGGCTCTTCGATTTCTTTTATGAAGCCAAATGAAATCTAGATATTAAGCAAAAATGGAAGACACTCCCGTTACTCCAAGACCAATAGTATGTCCCCTCAACAGTTTGCTCAGGACCCAAGATTTCTTTCACTTTGATGGATCCTTAGAAAAAAGTATCTCCCTAAAGATGGAGTTTTTTCTAGTTAAAAAATACTTGGATTTAGTTGGACCTTTGGGTCCTTATTTTGTACCTGGGAATAAGGGCACATGAATAAGACAGTTCTCCTTGCAAGAAATTCAGCCTGCAACATGCGTGGACCTTGAGGACATTATGTTAAGCAAAATAAGCCAGTCACAAAAAGACAAATATTGTGTGACCCCACTTACATGACAGAATATAGAATGACGGTTGCCATGGGCGTGGGTTGGGGGGGGGGAATAGGCAGTTATTGTTTAATGGGGACAAAGTTTTAGTTTGAAAAGATGAAAAAGTTCTGAAGATGATTGGTGATGATGGCTGCACAACAATGTGAATGTACTTAATGCTACTGAACTGAACACTTACAAATGATTAAAATGGTAAATTTCACATTATGTGTATTTTACCATGCTTAAACATTAAAAAAGAAGATTATGGTCTAGTAGGAGTTATCAATAGGGTTACAATCTTATAGTTAGAAAAAGGAATTAGAGGTCCCTCAGCCCAATGTTTCTCAAACCTTTTTCTTACTGGGATCCATAATAAGGAATTGCATTTATATCATGATCCAGTATGTATATGTCATGCTATTGATATATACATGTGTGTAAATATATCATACATATATCAGTGCATATATGTATACAAGTATATATATGTCAGTGCATATATATAGTCACTGATACATACACATATGTATAGACAGATGTACACATAGATGTATATATAACTGAAATACAACCATAAGTATATAATTTATATTTACTTATATTTATAAATATATATAACTGAAAATATATAACTAGCAAATGGTATAGGAAACATTATTTACACTACTATATAGAATGTGTTCTGACTTATTTTTACACAATTTTATCCCATTTCATTTTTAAAAAATCAGTTATAATCCACAAATCAATTTCACAATCCACTAATGGGTCTCAATCTACAGTTTGAAAAACATTAATCTAGACCAGTCTCCAACACAACGCAGAAATCGCTATAGCCACCCTGCTGGGTGGAAATCCAATTTCTGCCTGAGTGCTTTTTGTGTTGGGGAACTCACTCCCTACCATGCTCTATGGTGGATCCATCTAGCGATGAAAGAGTCTCACCCACTGCAAACCTGTCCCAGAAAGGCTGGGACCCACGGACAGGTGCGCAGGCGCTGGTGAGGATGAGTGGGCTTCCAGGAGAAGGGAAGGAATAGTTCCAGAAAGCAAGGTGAGGGCCTAGGGGCAGCTGAGGAGAGGGGAGTTGGCTGGCCCTAGAGCAGTGGTTCTCAACCTTCTGACCCTTTAAATACAGTTCCTCATGTTGTGACCTAACCATAAAATTATTTTCGTTGCTACTTCATAACTGTAATGTTGCTACTGTTGTGAATCGTAATGTAAATATCTGATATGCAACCGCTGCCCTAGAGGCTAGAGCGGGCTCTCTGAGAGACTCAGCTGCGCTGATCAGACCTCTCGCCTCTGCCTCCTCGCTGCTCCTCCGGCACTGTGATTACTTCCTCATCTGACAGATGATCTCACTCCCCGGCACCCTGACTCCCTGCCTGTGGGAGGGGTTTCCTCCCCCTCGAGGGGCCTCAGCCTCAGGAGACACAGATTCCCCCACCTTCCCTCTCAACCTCCCCGCCTCCCCGCAGGACTCCCGCAGCCACCGCTGGCCAGCCTCCTGCTATTCTCTTGGTCTTGAAACACAGGGTATCCCTGCCCCGATGTGCAGACATGGGCGGCCCGAGCCCCCACCAGGGGCTGTGGAGACCTGCCCTTTTCCAGGACAATGGGACTGCTCCACACCGGACGGTGTCTTCCCGGGAGGAATAAAACCAAAACAGCACCACCGCGTGGGGATAGCCGGCCGCTGGACATCCACGCCCGGGGTCCTGCGTGAGAAGAGGGCTGTGCCTCAGCCACAGGCGAGGGGGTTGGGCTGAAGGCGGCGTGGGCTGGCTGGGCCACAGGCAGGGACCAGGGCGTGGCAGTTTGCAGCCTCACAGCCAGCCACCCTGCCCAGGTAGGATCAGGTTGACCTCGGGGCGGGGCGGGACGGGGCGGGGCGGGGAAGAGGTGGTGATCTCATTGCATCCTTAGAAGCAAGAGAAAAAAGTAACTTGGTGCCGATAGAGGATGAAGAACGGGTGATACAAAGGGAAAGGGAGAGGAGAAAAGCTGGGGCTGAGAAAAGAAATGCAGAACACAGAGCAGCTTCTAGCCTGAAAGGGTCTGGGGTCAGAGGCCGCTCCAGGGAAGCCAGACGCGGAGCAGGACCGTTCTCCCCAGCCCCAACACATCTTGATGCAGGAAAAAAACCTCACCGTGGGCATCTGACCCAGGCCGTTCCCGCCCACCCTCTCTCTCCTGAGCTCTGGAAGGGGAGGAACGCCGGCGGCCCACCCTCTCCCCTCTGCAGAGACCATTCTTTTCCCCTCACCCAATTCCCCCCGGGGTTTGACAAAGTTTAATTGATGGCGTGAAACCAAAAGGCAACACAATAGGTGCCAGACCCCCTGCTGCTTCTCCTCTTTGAAGCGGCCGGTGTCCTTTTCCTTTTATCTGAAGAGCCTCGCATAATTTGCATTCCATTTCTACTTACCTGCAGTCCGGTTAGAAGCGAGCTGCTCCCTTCCTCACTCCCTCAATTAGTGGTACCCTGGGCTCCTCTCCACATCAGCACCACTGCTCGGCTCTCGCCATGACATCACCTCCGAGCTCTCTGATTGGCCAACAGTGGGTTGCTTGGCAATTGGACAGTTTCCTCCGGCGGCGGAGCAGGGATTGCCTGAGTGAGTAACTCTTAGCAGGCCAGGGAGTGGAAGATGATGTCAGACAAATAGCCTGCTTGCCATGCAGCCTGTAGAGTGGGGGGACCAGCGGGGTGAGGGTGGGGATGAAGAAAGAAAGAGGGAGTGGTACGGGAAGGTGGGGGTGAAGGCACAGCTTGCAGGCTGAGCGGCGGCACCTGGAGAGGGGGGGATGATGAGTGATTTCCAGAATCGTTAGCTCTTTCAGATCTGGGGGTGGGAGACTATGGAATCCAGAGAAGTCAGAAAGCACAGATGACTCCTAAAAATAGCTTCCCGGAGGGCTTGGTGCGGGGTTTCCATCTTGGTCAGGAGGCCTGGTGGGTTTGCATAGGGACTCAGAAGGCAAGGAGGGGCTGCAGGTGCCTCAGACTGTGGGGGTGGGGAAGGTGCAGTACGGGGGTGTCCCAGGAGAAGAGGGCATCCCTCTCCCCACCTCGCTGTGCTGTTGGCCGCTCCTGTGCTGTGGCTATTTGACCGGAGCGGGTGGGTCCGCACTGCCCAGCCAGCCCTCCTGATATTCCCGACCCGGGGGACTCCTAAAGGAGGCGGACCCCTGAGGGGAGGCAATGGGTCATCCAACCGTAGCTTCTTTAGTTCCCTCAGGGGATGGGGGCAGGGAGCCCCAGGTGTAACCTCTCAACCTGCTCACCCTGAGCCAGGCAGCTGGAGGTGCAGGGTGAGGAGGCTGGGCAGGAGACGGGGCCGTGGGGCAAGCCCCCTGATCCAGAATGCTCCTCCTTGTCAAAGCTCCCTGGGCGTGCCCTCCATCCCACACTCCCACGGCAGGTGGGACTGCTCCACCACCCAGCTCTGCCTCACCCCCTTTTGGCTGCGGTGGGGACACATTTCTGTGTGTGTAGTAAAATATATATAACATAAAGTTTATTATTTTAACCATTTTAAGTGTGCGGTTCAGGGGCATTAAGTACATTCACACTGCTGTGCTACCATCACCACCATCTATCTTAGAACTTTATCTTTCCAAACGAAAACTCTGTACCCATTAAACAGTGACACCCCATTTGCCCTTCTCACCCCCCCAACTCTAATCTACCTTTTGTCTCAATGGATTTGCCTAGTCTAGCAATTTCATTACCTCATGTATTACCTCATGGAGTGAAATCATACAAGGTTCATCCTTTTGTTTCTGGCTTATCTCACTTAGCATCATGTCCTCAAGGTTCATCCAGCACTGAAGCAGGTGTCAGAACGTCAGAATGGCGTGGCCTCGCCCTCTTCAGGGAGGGTCAGTTCAACCACAATCAATTTCACGGACCCCCACGCTCTACCACCACCCCCCTGCTGCCTGAGAATACGCATAATGACAAAAGGTTACCTTGCTTTTAAGCTACGTTTTCAAACTACAAGAGCACCGGTGAGCATCTGCACACTGCAGTCCATGCATGTATGAGTGCGGTGTGGTCACTCTGCAGGCAGCCCGGGAAGCAGTAGGTTCTCAGGCCCCGGCATGACCCTGGCCTGCACCCCACAGCTGAGACCCACCGTGTGGCTCGTCAGGTGGGGAGAGCACCGGTTAGGCTGCCCCCTCTGACCAACCACGCTCAGGGGTGGCCAGAATAAGCAATGACCCTGACGTCTTGGGAGGCTCAGAGCTCACCCACGTGGGGCTTTTGTGTCACCCCCATCAGTGCCGGAGGGCCAGCAGCAGGAAACCTGTCTTCTGTGTGAACAACACTCTTCTCATGCCGGCCTCATGCCATGAACCCGGGGCCCTGGGGCCCTGGGTTGGCCCATGTCAGAGGGGATCAGGCGTGCCTATGAATAGCAGAGTGGTTTCTCGACATGGAGAGACAACCGAGGCCACACTGGTCACCAGGCTGCAATGGGAATCCAGGCAAACGGGAACCTTGCGGCTGCCCTTGCAGTCAGGGGAGCCTCTCTCCCCTCCCCTGACTCTCTTTCCTCTTCCCTCCCAGCCCTGGAAGTCTGGAATTCCACAAATCTGCAGGCTCTGGAAAGGGAGGGGGTGGGGGAGGAGACAGTGAGTTGCCATGGTGATGGCAGCCAATGAGAGATCCTGCACTATTAGGCGAGGGGAGCACTCTGTCTGCATCCCCCCTCACCCCCCCACCAACTGACTGATAGGAGGGTGTGGCTGGGACAGGGTGGGAGAATGGATGGGAGAGAACATCATGACCTGAGGGCAGAGACCAAGGTGGGGGGCTAAGGGTAGTGAGGAGGGCTGCCCCATTTCTAGAATTAGCTAGCTACCATCTGAGTTAAGCTATGATTTTTAGTTGCCCCCACAATGTTTTGCTCCCATCACCACTGTTCAGAACTTTCCATCTTCCCAAACTAAAACTCTGTACCCATGAAACAACAGCACCCCTTTCCCTCTTCCCTGGTAATAGATACAGTAATCGGCAAAGCTCACAACCGCCCTGAGAGAAAGGGCTTCCCCTGCCACCCCAGAGCCAGAAAGGAAAGGTAAATTGCAAACAGCCTGGCTGCTGAGTAGTGAGGCTAGATTTGAACTGATGTGGGGGAGGGGAAATATTAACGGGAAGAGGGCGGAGAGGTAGAGCCACAGCCACTGGACCCTCCTAAACGCAGTGGCTACACATCAGTCAGAGGGACATGGGCCCCCAGTGCACACACTGTGACTTCGCTCTGTTGACGCCACCTTTCACGGCGCAGGTTGCACTGTGGCAACGACACTGGGGTGGGGCAGGTGTGGTCATTCCCCGATGCCCGTGTGCTGCCTGGCTGCCCCGCGGGCTCGCCATCATTGACCTCTTCCAAGGGTGAAACATGACCAACGTGTGGGAACCGGGACGCCGCATCCTCTTGTCAGTTTCCAAGTGTGGAGAGAAGCAGCAGCAAACAATCAGTAGATGATTGACTATCCAGAAGGCAGGCATTGACTTGACTCACAATAACTCACATGTACAGCCCTCAGGTCACAGGGGGCAGTGCCCAGCCCCTCAGGGACCTGCCCATCACAGAGGTAGCCCTGCTGTAGGGCCAACTGCACACTCACCTAGGGGACCCTCAGGAAATACTGTCCTAGCCTCACACAGACATTCCGAATATATCTGAACACTGTGTGTGTGTCAGAGTCATTCACACTTGTGTGGTTTATAAAGACTACCCAATGTAAATGGGCATTTATTTTCTGCTTTTATTTTAGCAGGAGACAGAAGCTTGGAGGATTTTTTCCCCCCCCTGTAGAATGTGTTGAACTGAACATTGTCAGGGATTGACTTAAAACAAATAAAAACGTTTGCACTATGAAATGTTTTTTTTTAAACTGTGAACGCTGTTTCACTTGAAGAGCAGCTGTTGTGATTCTTGCACTCTTGTGACATCAGTGGCTTAGATATTTTTTTCAATCAACACAAACTCAGTCAGTTGGGATTTAGGCAATGGATTGCGGGAGCCATTTGTTTATGCTAATTATTTATAAACTGCATTGTCATGGCAGTTAATGATTAGAACAATACCATCTAATGTTTATAAAAACAACATATGTAAAGTGAGCTGAAACCTGTGAGTCACATGCCTGCTGCAAAGTATGTGCTCAATAAATGTTAGCTATTATTATGATTATCACTAAACACAAAAGCAGAATACCCATGAGTTTGCAAGGAACAGAAGCCCATTTCAAACTTGTTAAAAAAACAAGATAATTTATATTAAAACTTGACAGTAACCCCCCCGCCCCCATTAGAAAATGGGCAAAAACATGAAGGGACACATCAATGAGGATATACAGACAACAAATAAACACATGGGGTAGGGGGAGTTCACTTACTAGCAATTTAAAAAGGCAATTTATGGTGACAATGAGCCGTGGTTGGTGTGGCTTAATTGGTTGCAGGTTAGATTCCTGGTCAGGGCACATACCCAGGATTTGGGTTCAATCTCCAGTTGGGTTGCATGTTGTAGGCAACTGATTGATATTTCTCTCTCACATTGATATTTCTCCCTTGTGCTTTCCCTCTCCCTTCCTCTCTCTCTAAAATCAATAAAAACATATCCTTGGGTGTTAAAAATAAAAAGAATATCCTCAAAATGACCAAATTATAGAGATGGAAATAGATTAGAAATTGCCACGGATTAGGAGTGGTGAAAAAAGGGGTGACTATATAGGGAAAACAGTAAGAAGTTCTTTATGGCATACATTGTACCAATGTCCATTTCCTGGTTTGATATTATACTAGAGTTATGGAAGTTGTAACCATGTGAGAAATCGTGCAGGATACATGGGACCCTTCTGCAACTTACTCTACACCTATAATTATTTCAAAATTAAAGGTGTTTCTTTTTTTGGAGCTTGAAGAAGTGTCAGAGATATTTCATGGAATATAAAGCAAAAATGCAACCCTTCCTCCTGAGAAGCAAGAACCAGGAAGGCACTCATGAATCAGCTCCCCCACCAAACCACAGCCTCTCTGCAAAGCTGCTTCCTTCCTCTCTGTTTCTAGATACCTTCCCTGCTGTGGGCACCATCCCTGCTGTGGGCACCATCCCCGCTGTAGGCACCATCTCTGCTGTGGGCACCATCCCTGCTATAGACACCATCCCTGCTGTAGACACCATCCCTGCTGTAGGCACCATCCCTGCTGTAGACACCTTCCCTGCTGTAGACACCATCCCTGCTGTGGGCACCATCCCTGCTGTGGGCACCATCCCTGCTGTAGGCACCATCCCTGCTGTAGGCACCATCCCTGCTGTAGACACCTTCCCTGCTGTGGGCACCATCCCTGCTGTGGGCATCATCCCTGCTGTAGACACCATCCCTGCTGTGGGCACCATCCCTGCTGTGGGCACCATCCCTGCTGTAGGCACCATCCCTGCTGTAGACACCTTCCCTGCTGTAGACACCATCCCTGCTGTGGGCACCATCCCTGCTGTGGGCACCATCCCT